CCAACCAATCCGATTCAGTCAACCAAAGTCTAAGATTCTTTGGATTGTGATTTTTAAATGTGTTTGTTTTTGACTGTATTAAAAACCCTTTTCCTTGCACATTTGTTCTTTCTTAGAGAGAAATTTGTTAGACTCATAGAATCACATTATGCTGCAGAGAGGAAAATGATAATAGGTGTGTGTGTGTGTGTGTGTGTGTGTGTGTGTGTGTGTGTGTGTGGGTGTGTGTGTGTGTGTGTGTGTGAGACATATGAGATCAATTCATGGATTTTTTTTCATAATATTTACATCTGGGGTCTGGGGGCAGTGAAGTTTCCTATTCTTTCTGTCAGATTCTCAGTCAGACACTTAGATGAGTCCAAGGTGGTGGAGTGTAAACACACTGAGAGGTTTGAAGAATCACAATGTATTTTATTCTGGAACACTTGACTTGGGTCACAGCCTAAAGAGTTAAATAAGTTCTAAGATCTCTAAGAACTTACCAAAAAAATACAAACAAAACAAAATAAAAAAAAAAAACAGTAATCGGTCCCTTTTGCATATGCCACGTTATTTTTTATTTTGGCATCAGCAATTAAATGGTATTCATGCTTTCCAAATTGTAGAAATGTGTCATATTTAAGTTTGTTCCATGCAGATGCTGTTTTATGTTCTTTTCACTTAGAAAATCTAGGAAAAATACAATTTGATCAGGGGTGCCCAAACTTTTAAATACAGCTGTTCGCTTCAGGAGAACATGTTGGTAAATGTGTCCAGGTTCCACCAAAAACAGACTGTTTTATTCGGAAAAGTTGATTTAACAATAATATTAATTAAGTTAATGTTGCTTTCAGGTAACAAGAAATAACAAAATTAGCAATTTATTCATGAAGAATTGAACTTTTTCACTCACTTCAAAAAGCATAAAGTTTTAACCCTTGTGCGGTGTTCAGGTCTGTAGGACGCATTTTCAATGTTTATCAAATGAAAAAATCATGGGATTTATTATTATTTGAGCCTCAGATTCCTTGGCCTTTGCTCATTTTCTGTGAAGAACACATAAAATAACACATTTTAAGTGACTTCACACTGTGTTGGATGAACCCGCAGGGAATAAAAGTGTGGAGGTGCTGTGTCCCCTTCACTCTGTTCTCCTCCTGCATGGCCTGCTACTATTTAAGGTGGGACGGGAAAGTTAGCTAGCTAGCCACCAAGACATTAGCATGCAATAAGCAATTTTTTATGCTTGTTATGAAGAAAGCGACCATAATACACTGAAACTACATTAAGCTAAGATAATACAGTGGTTATCGTAATTTTTTTAACAGAGAAAAATACTTACATTTGTAGTATATCTTTGCTCGTCTTGTTCAGTCATCTTGCTGGTTTTTCTTTTTTTCACACTGTTTGGAGTGAGTCTCCGAAAAACCTCCATTTGGAGGGTCATGTAGCCCTAACACTTCACCCTACCCCTCTATCTCAACTAAAATTGGGACACCCTACCCCTTGACGTGAATGCGCAAAACAGAGGGCTAAGGGCTAAGTGGTAGGGGCGAGGGGTGAAATGGGGTGAAATGGGATTAGGCCTATGTGTAAGGTGGACAACATGGACAGGCTGCTGACTGGCTACAGCTGCTAAAGGAGAACTAAATAATTTTCAGCTACATTGTATTCCAATTTATTCATTCAGGACCCTTGTCATAAAGTGTGATTATAATATTGTTTTTTTCTTAAATGTATTGTGTTTTATGATGAGTATAGTTTCATGCAATACACTATATTAAATAACTCATTTGTACAGTAATACACATCTAGATACTCGTCCACCTCAGAGTTCGTTTACAATATTCTTTTCTCCCCACTACTGAACTTTGTTCGTGCACACTTCACACATCTTCTTCCTGAGAAGATCACAGCCTGCTCACACTCAGGGTCAGAAAGAGAAATGGACATGACAACAGTTCCTGCACTTTTGTTTAATGAACACTTGACCTTCACTGACCTCGGATTTTGGAGTGTGTTTTTCTTCATAAGCTGGATAATTAAACCCTGCATGTGGATCCATCTAAATGGCCTAAACAGAGTGATAAATATCAGATAAATATCAGTGATAATTAAAATGTTGTATCTTTATGTGTCAATCATGATCTCCCTGTTCATGCTTGACCCAGAGTCTGTATAGAATATGTTTTTAATCATTATTAGAATATTATTTTCATTGTTTGTGATCAAGTCCTTCACAAGGCAACTGCAACAGAAAGATGAACTGAAATGCAACTGTAAAAATTAATTATATTTTAGTATATTTGGTAATTTACTGTGGTAAATGATGCAGGCCAGTCTGGGCCTTTGTTTACATAAACCTGATAATGTCCGCAGCTGAAACTGCACATTTCCTTTGGTCCATATGTGCCTGAGCACAAATCAAAAGAAATTTTCCAAATCTATCAAACCATACAGTTAATAACATTGTTTTTATTACTTAAACACGCAGTGATCAGCATTTAGTCACCAATAATATTTTACTAAGAGAATCATATTAAATGAATTTATGAAACAAACAAGGCACCGATCTGTTACCCAGCATACCCGAGAGCAGTTACAATGTTCCTATATGCTAATGTTACCAAGGCAACAGCAAAAGGGTGGTAAAAAATCTATTGCCAGTTGTAGTGTAGTCTTGTGGGGCCTGACTTGATCCAGTGATGAAAATACATGGGAAACTTGTTAAACATGTAATGCAGATCTGTGGTAACCACAAACAGGGGTATACCCCTCTTAATCCCACCTCCAAATTCCTCTAGTCTGTGCTCTATTAGTGTCCAGAGTATATTCAATAACACAGCAAAAGCCATTGGCCATCAGTGTGCTAATGACAGGTTTGTGGAACAGTGTTGGCAAGTGCACCATCCTACTTTGAGCTTTGCCTTCTACGTTCCCCAAATTTTATGACAATTTTTTTCATAATTATCCCAGGAGTTTCTTGTTGCTTCTCAATCCCATCCTGAAATATCAATCACTTACACTATGTTTGCTGTGTAGTTCTTCCTGTGGGGTTAACAGGGTGATTTGTGTAGTTAGTTTCAGCATGATAGACTTCTTTTACATCATCTTCTTTGTAACATCCTGTCTTGCCTTGCCTAACTTTTTCTTGTTTCTGTCTGTGTCTGCCTTTGTTTACCTTCCCTTGTGTGTCTTGCCATGTGCTTTTGTTGTTGTTTTGGCCTCTGTCTCCTGCCCTGTCCTGCCTCCTTGTCATTAGTATCACCTATGTTTAGTTTTTAGCCCCACCCTCTCAGTAGCCCCAGGGGTTTCTTGTTTGTTCCCTTTGTATATATACCTCTGGTTGCGTGCTTCGCATTTGCCAAAAATGTCCATGAAGGGGTAGCATTTTCCTGCAGCTGAACACCACCAGTCCAGGCAGCCTCAGAGCTGCAGTGCAGTGACACCCAGGTGGCCGGCCCTAACAGCAATGTAGCTGTGATATAGCGTCGCTTAGGCAGCTGATCCAAGAGGCCTCATAGCTGTGGCGTAGCACTGTTAATGCAGCTGAACACTACTGGTCCTGACAGCCCCACAGCTGCAGTGCAGCGTCATCCAAAAAGCCGGCTCAGGCCGCCATGTAGCTGTGCTGTAGTTTCAATTAGGTCCATTGTTAGTTTTCTAGTTTTCTTTTGTTTTCTTTCTGTTTTAGTAGTTTGTTTATTAGTGTTGTTTCCTTGTTTAGTCACCTTTGTGGATTTGTTTTCTTCAGTGTTTTCAAAAAATATAAGGACTTGCACTTGCATCCTGCCTCTTCAGCTTTATGATCTTATATTAAGTGATTAATATAAAAGTAGCAATTTTTAAAGTTTAGTAGTTGTCAAGAAAATTATCAGATGGGTAAAGCTGATACTATACAATATCTATATCAGGGGAAAATTGCCATCAGTACATTGATTCATATTTATATCCAGAAGCTCAAGCTGGGCAGTCACCCACATGGCCAACTCGCATGGTTACATCATCATCTCCTGTAGCAGAAACTGAACAGAGCGACTCACCAGCAGGTGATTCTCTCTCTGCTCCACTGCAGTCCACAACACTTTACACCAACATAAGGTAAAACATCCTGCAATAAAAATAAATAAAAATCAGTTCAGAATTGTCTTATTTTAGTGTCATTCTTCAGTACTTTAGATTTGAAGTAAGACAGCTCAGTCTACATCTACATTTTGCTTTCCTCACCATTCCTTTAAAAAGCACCAAAGAAAAAGGCAGTAGGCTATGACACACAGAATGTAAACAGGCAGTGGCTGTTGTCCTCAGATTAGCTGAAAACATTATGTTCCCATCCTCCTGAATTGTGATGACTTTTAATTCTTATATTTTTGCTAACTTATACAACTCCTACAAATAAATAAATAGCTCACAGTATAGTTCTCACAGTTCATGAGGTGGCAAAAGCAGAATACAAGTTCATAACTGAGCCACTATTATAGGTTAGTGTTTGAAATATCTGCCTGCAAATGAAATAACTCCAAAGAATAACAGTTCAAAGAAAAAGATAACTTGCACATTAGTGCTATCAAATTTGTGTACACTATACAGACAGCAGGGATCACTCCACTGGTTTTGGTTTGGATAAAGCCAAAGACACAAAGATGGAGATTAAAGTTTTGTAAAACCAGCAAAAAGGGAATTGAAATTACTTAAACTCTTACACAACATTAGTGCTAAAATGTGGTGTATTTTACTATGCAAAAGAACGTTTTGTCCAGTGTAACAGGCAAAACTGTGATGAAAAAGCACAAAATAGAAGCTGTTTCAACACAACTCAGAGCCACTGTTTATTTTGTGCCATGAAATTATTTGATAACTTTTTTTTTGTATTGTAGCTTCGCTACTACATGATTCATACATCATCTTGAGGAGAAATTTGCAGCTCTTGCTTTCTCAGGGTCAAAAAGGGAAGTGGGCATGTCATGACTTTCTGATTTAGACCCAGCTGAAGACACAGTACTGTCACAATCACACAGGATCAGAGACAGAGTGTCAGTTAAGGAGTCTCTGATATCTGTCTGAGTTGGTGTTCATCTGTGAACTGAGCTCAGAATGAAGATCCTCCTCATCTTCACCCTCTTCCTGATTTCAGGTAAGGAGATGCTCTTCTAAATAATCATCACTATCAGCAGAGTCAAATGAAGCCTTTACTTAGAAGGACATTTGTCCTCTTTTAGTAGGTGGAGGAGAATCAGAGAGAGTGACAGGATATTCAGGAGGAGGAGTCCTCATCAAGTGTACATATGAGACACAATACACATCAAACCAGAAATATCTCTGTAAGGGTTCACTGTTAATCTGTGCTGACCAAATCAAGACAGGAGTTAAAAATGAGTGGATAAATAGAGGAGATTCTCACTGTTTGATGACACCAGAGCTGCACAGTTCTGGGTGGTGATCAGAGAGCTCACTGTAGAGGATTCTGGAATGTACCACTGTGGAGCTGAGAAATATTTCGCCATTATCATCCATACACCAGTTCAACTGAATGTGAAGGAAGGTGAGTCTCTCTCAACACTGCACTTGTTTGCTTTCCTAAACTCATAAATCATAAGTATCAGCTACAGTGAGGGTGAATGTACAAACTCCTACAAAAATCAAAGATCAGAAACTGTATTGTCTAAAAGTGCTTTTCTACTGTATGTATCACTTTAAAAACTATAACTACTCATTTAACAGTGTGATCTGAATGTGCTTTTAGTAGAGTGGAGTGAACTATAGAGAACTTACAGTTAAAAAGGGGGGGGAGTCCGTGAAGTACAGAAATGAGAATGAATACAAAACCTAAGTATTTCTGTGAATTCTGATCATCATAGATGTTCTGAACAAACAGGAGCTCAACAGTTCAGTTCATGATAACAGAACAGAAGGACAAAATTAAATTTACTTCATTCTAATGTGTAAACTGGCTAAACATGAATGAAATGTTATATCAGTATTGATACTATATGTAAGTACATAATTTAATTTGATGTAACATATTTCATGTGTGTGGAATTGATGAACATTTGAATCGTGTACATTCAGCAACTTTTTTCAGTGATCTTGAGGGAGACGATTTTAAAGGATGCGGGTAAGATTACACTGTTCTGTCTGATACGTTAGAAACCTGCACTGAACTGATGTAAAAAGCAGTGAGGAGCTTTTAAAGTGCAGTTAATGTCTGTGAAACATGTTATAATCCTGACTGATCAAATCAACATGGAACAGTTTAAGAATCACTAATCAGAGCTAAAAGCAAATCTACAGTTCAGACTGAAACTGTATCACAAGACTAAACATCAGTCTGGATTAGTTTGATGATCCAGGAGTTCAGAGATTAATTGTGCTTTTCAAAAGAGTATAAAACAGTAGAATTTGTTAGATGTGTGCTGTAATTAATTTAGTAATTAATAATTTATTTAGAATTTAGAAAACAAGAAAACTGTTTTACCATAAGCAAACTACTGGAAGTTTATGCAACTGTTGTACCTGTTTATGATTGACAGATCTGTCCTATGAGAAGAGCATCAGTGTGATTGGCCATGTAGGAGAAAGTGTGAACATCAGCTGCAAATACCCACAATCCCACAGCAGTGACCCCAAGTTTCTCTGTAGGAGAGTGGACACTGCTGACTGTAATTATGAAACATCTGTTAAAGAGAGCAGAAGATGGATAAATGAGGGAAAACTGTATCTACATGATGATGGAAAGCAGATCTTCACTGTGAGCATCAGCAGTCTGACTGAGGGAGACTCTGGTGAATACTGGTGTGGAGCTGAATCAGACTGGACATCTGATCATGGATACAAGGTTTATATCACACAGATCAACCTCAGGGTTACTGGTGAGTAGATCTGACTTAAATCAATTTGTTTACTTACAGAAACGTTGTGCTATATATTTGTGCACTTCAAAGGTAATAAGTGCACAGCATTATTAACCATCTGGAAAAGGTCAGTGAAAGAGATTATAGTTTGCATACTCAAATATACATAAATCAACTGTAATAAATGAATGGATAATCATTTTAAATGTGAATGTGTGAGGTTGTAGTTTGATACATAGAGCATAGATTGATCTATATAAAGAAATAAAGACAATAATAATGACAATTTTTACAAACGACATTTGAAATTTTCATCTTCATTAACAGAACGACCAGCAACATCATCCTCAACATTACCATCAGGCTCAACTCCACAGAGCACAGAAACAGCCTCCTCTACATCTACAACTGCAATGAATTCCTCATTTAGGACTTCAACAGGTATAAAATTCAGACTGCATTTGTCCTGGTAAACTGTAGTCAATCATCAATAATGGCATCTACACAAACGCCTAAACAAACTTCAGATCTAAGTGTTCTACCACAGTCATCAACATACATCAGCTCACTGACCACAAAACCAACCATATCATCAATGTCCAAAACCACATCATCTCCATTGTCTGCTACAAGTGAATTCACTTGAAGTGGACATGAAACAGTAGATGTAGTTAGAATCATTTACAAGATGTCTTCCCTCTCCCAAAATCCTTATAGATTTAACAGTCAGTTAAACCAGATTTAAAATAAGATGGTCAGTGAGTTTTTGACAACATCGCAAACATCGAACAGAGAATAAATAAAACAGTGTCACATTTTAACCATCCAAAACCCAACAAAATTAGGGTGTTTCATGTCCTCTTTAATATACAGTACACCTATAGAACATCTGGTCATGTCCTGTTAGCTTGATCAGATTGTTGGTTGTGTCTGATTCTATGATTCATGTTCTCCACCTCCAGCATTTCCAGTTTCCTCTGTGATCATTAGTGTCTCTGCGATTCTGCTGCTGCTTCTGATTGGACTCCTATTTTTCATAGTCACATTTCAAAAGAGATGGAAGACTCAAGGTACGATCACACACAAAAACCATAGGAAATTATCATACCTTATATACATGATTTTTTTTTTAACCAGACAAAAAAAATTTAAAACCTGGAGTCAAGATTGAGTGTGTGGAGTCAGTGTGACTTAAAATGAAAAGTGGTTATCAGAAATTATAGCAGCCGTAATCTGGAGACTAGAATCAGAATAAATTCAGTTTGGGCTTGAGAACACTTTACATATAAGTTTATTTGTTACTTATTATTATACTGCAGTTAATATTTATTCCATTGAATTCATATAAAATAAAAGTAAATCTGCATTTATTCTCTGTTGCTTGTCTTCTTTACCAACAGGTCCAGAAACAAAGGCACAATGTTCCAGAGAGGTGGGTACAAAAATACATCATTGTGATTTTTTTCAGCGATTCATTTGTCAAAAGTTGCAATCTCTTATAATTTTAACATCATATTTCAGAGTATTGGGAATTATGAAAATGATCCAACATTGTTTTCTCTTCAACCAAGAAACACCAACCAATCAGATTCAGTCTAGCAGAGCCTAAACCCCAACACCAACCAATCAGATTCAGTCTACCAGAGTCTAGACCCCAACACCAACCAATCAGATTCAGTCTACCAGAGTCTAGACCCCAACACCAACCAATCAGATTCAGTCTACCAGAGCCTAAACCCCAACACCAACCAATCAGATTCAGTCTACCAGAGTCTAGACCCCGACACCAACCAATCAGATTCAGTCTACCAGAGTCTAGACCCCAACACCAAACAATCAGCTGCAGTCTACCGGAGTCTAGACCCCAACACCAACCAATCAGATTCAGTCTACCAGACCCTAAACCCTAACACCAACCAATCAGATTTAGTCTACCAGAGTCTCAACCCCAACACCACCCAATCAGATTCAGTCTACCAGAGTCTAGACCCCAACACCACCCAATCAGATTCAGTCTACCAGAGTCTAAACCCCAACACCAAATCAATCAGATTTAATCTTATACAGTCTAAACCCAACCACAAAAAATCAGATTCAGACTCCTGAAGCCTGACCCATCCACTAACCAATCAGATTCGATCTACCAGAGCCTAAACCTCTACCGCAGCTTAACACAATCAGGGACTCTATGTACAGACTGAGCAAATGCTCAATGTGGTTGTGATTCTTTTTACCATCTTCACTTGGTCAACTTGTCATCATTACTTGTTTTGCAATTTTTCTGTATTTTTGTCCTTTATTTCAACATTGGTTCATCTTTGTCTTTGATCACCTGTATGTCAGAATTCTTAAACTTTTATGACTTTTCTTTAGATTGTGATTATTACATGTGTTTGTCTTTGGCTGTATTTTCCTTTTACATATATCAACTCCTAAAGAGAGTCTTATTACAATCGTATTATGCTGCAACAAGCAAAATGAGAATAGTTTGTCTTGAGCTGAGGCAAATAAATGTTAGCAAGTAAGCAGTACATGCATTCAAAAAAGGGACATTCAACATGGGACTTATTTAATAAAAAAATAAGTTAGCTTCTAAAATAGTTTAATCTTTAAAGTAATGCTTTTATTTGTTAGCTATGTAGCTATGTACACTAGTAGAATGTGTATTTTTTGCTTGAATTTTCACTCTCATAAAAATAAAAAACAGTTTGATTGATACACCTGATTCTGTGTAATAGACGTGCGTGCGTAGTGTATCATTTCATGTCAGTTAAAATTTCAGGATTGTGGCAGACAAGCCAATCAGATTCAGTCCACCAGAGTCTAAACCCACCACTAAATAATCATCACTATCAGCAGAGTCAAATGAAGCCTTTACTTAGATGGACATTTTTGCTCTTTTAGTAGGTGGAGAAGAATCAGAGAGAGTGACAGGATATTCAGGAGGAGTCCTCCTGAATATCCTGTCCATATGAGACAAGATACACATCAAGCTCAACATATCTCTGGAAGTCACAAATCTGAGCTATAAACTATAAACAGATGGCGTCTCTTCAGTGATCTGCTCTGTAAACATTATTTTTAAAAAATAATATAAAGAGCGTCTAAGATTTTTGGCTTTCAGCAGTAAATTGTAAGCATATAGCAATATGTGTGATCATAAAACATATTTTCTGTTAATTTGAGAGAAACTTTTACAAAAAATAAATAAATAAAGTAAAAATTTATATTTATTTCATGCAGTTGCTGAATAATTTGCCTTACGATTTGGTCATGTGAATTCAAATGGAATAAACAAAATATACCCACAAGCATTTAAGTTTGATTTATGTGTAATTTGTATTGAAGTATAAATGTTAGTAAACAGTGACAGAGTAGAGAATTTTCCGGTGTTTTGGGGTTGGTATTGTCTGCTTTACTTTTTTTTACACACCTTTCATTATTTTACAGTTTAATTTGAATTCATTCAAGTTGTGTTAAATTGACCAACAGTCCTAATCACCACCTTGTTTGTTTTAGGATCTTTGCCTGACTGTGATTGGTACTATCACTACTTTGTTTGTTCTGAGACCTCCTTACATCATCATAATAGCAAGCTATCTGAGTGACTTGATAGTAACCTCTCTTCACAGTGGCCTATGCATGCCTGTTTTATGCGGCATAAAGTTGCATACAAGCCAGAAAACAGAAGACAGAAAAATTTGTATTTTTCCATTTGCTTCTTCAGAAAATTTTAGAAGATTTAAGGATTCATGTTGATGGTCTTTTTGATGCACGGAAACCTTTTTTTTTCCAAGAAGGATGCTGTGACATGAGATAATAACGAATTTATGTCCATCTACCAGTTATATTCCAGATCGACTGTAACAATTTAGCTGTTATGGGGTTGTAATCATCATCGTGTTTGTTCTAAGACCTCTCCCCCGACTGTGATTCATGCTATCACTGCTTTGCTCATTTTGACACATTGCTCAGCTGTGATTGGTCCACTGCATTAGGATTCTAGTGATGCTGAGATCACTTAGTTCTTTTTAAGTAGATGTACAACAGTGTGGTCTATAGTACTTTGGTTTCATTTAGGTCTATGTTCAATTGAAGTATGCTGGCTTTATAGATTTGTCATACTGTGTGGGAGGATTCACAGACCCTGAGAAGAAAGAGGCATTTTAGTTATTGTGAAACAAATTTTAATCATAGTTAAAGCACAATGCAAAACAAAGAAAAATCACTGCACCACTTATTGATTTTAGAAACTCAAAAAATCATTGAATAAATCAGGTAAAACAAAAAACATCTTCTGCCAAGCAATGCAATGTTAATAAAATGAGACTTCAAAAGAGAATTCAAATAATCCAGTCATATCTTTGTATATTACAAAGATTTTACAGTAATTTAGAATATGGCTTAGCCAATCAAATTTTATCATAGGAACCGAATTCTATAAATTGTACACTCTTCATTAGCAGTCATGAATTTAGATCATAAGACTCCTTTGTTATAGAGGCATTTGAGATTTTCTCTGCATTACTGCAGGTAAATCAGTGACATTTCTTGTTCAGTTTATTCCACCCCACCAGCAGCTGCTTAGGGTCCAGCCCCTTAGTCTGACCACTGATTCTAAGACATGTAAAAAGATTAAGCTGATTTAAACTGCATGTTCATGTGTGAGTGCCGCAGGACTCAAAGATAAACGGTTATTAGACCCCAGAGAACTAACAGTGATGAACTGATGCTGCCCTCTGCTGGCCAAACCTGAGGGGTTTGTAGGTAAGTAAATACATACATGTATATATACATACAAATACAAACATACACACACACACACACACACACACATTCTTTAAGCTGCTTATCCTTCTGAGTCATGGGGGAGGCGCTGGAGCCTATAAATTAATGAATGAATGAATAAATAAATAAAGTTTATGATCTGGAATTCTTTCTCCTCAGACCAACTTCAGGCCAAGCCTCCTCTAATGACCACAGGGTGGGTCATGATTATATTTCAGAGTAGACTCCCAATAGAACA